AAAAAAAAAAAAAAAGGAGGTATTTCCCTGGAAGAAGCATCCTCCCTGGCAGCTGTCATTATTATAGGGATCCTTCCCTTCCCCACACTCCAAAGGCAGTTATACACTTGGGTATTAAATGTTTGTGGGAAGTGGAAAAAAGAAAACCGTGTCTTGTTTTACACAGAGCTGAGCCCCCTCATAGGCATGAGAAGATCAGGATCTCTCTTGGGCAACCCTACCCCATCCTACCTAGGGCAGCTGAGACTGTGCTCTTGAGAGCAGAGGAGAGAACACTTGCTGGGTGCTGCCTGGGTGTCCCTGGCATTCCTGTTAGGAGAGGCACACCTATCCTCGCTGGGGATACCCAGGCAAGGACCAGAACTAGGCCTTGAAAAGACCAAATGTCATAGCTGATAGGGACACATTTTCTACAAATTAGAGAAAAGAAAAAAGAGCAAAGAATGCCAGACCAAAAGTGAACTGATGTTAAAAGATTGATATAGGATGAGGGTGAATTTATGAACCATGAAAATACCAGAGAGGGGCTACAAGCCCCTACAGGATCTCGCCCCAGGCAATGGCTCACTGTGAAAACAAAACTAACAAGAAGCCAAATAAACAGGAAACTAAAAGTCTGTTATATTTAGTTCTAATGTTGATTGAAAAAAATAGATTATATTCTACTGCCAGTTCTTTAATATATCTTCTCTGTTAATAATCCCACAGGAATCCTATAAAACAGATACTATCTGGCCGGGCGCGGTGGCTCAAGCCTGTAATCCCAGCACTTTGGGAGGCCGAGGCGGGTGGATCACAAGGTCAGGAGATCGAGACTATCCTGGCTAACATGGTGAAACCCCGTCTCTACTAAAAAAATACAAAAAACTAGCCGGGCGTGGTAGCGGGCGCCTGTAGTCCCAGCTACTTGGGAGGCTGAGGCGGGAGAATGGCGTGAACCCGGGGGGCGGAGCTTGCAGTGAGCCGAGATCGCGCCACTGCACTCCAGCCTGGGAGACACAGTGAGACTCCGTCTTAAAAAAAAAAAAACAAAAAACAAAAAACAAAAAAAAAAAAACCAGATACTATCAATCTCTACAGTTGAAAAAACTGGCAGAAAGGTTAAATGACTTGCCCCAGGTAGATTTCAGTCTGTCTGACAGAGCTTCTTGACCCTGTATGTCTTCTTGGCCCTGTTTGTCTATCAAGAATGTTGTGCTTTTAAATGCTATTTACATAGATGAAGATTCTGCAAACTCTTTCTTCAAGGGCAAATATTAAGTATTTTAAGCCTTCTGGACCATAGAATTGCTGCTGCAACCACTCTAAGTGCTAAAGCAACCACAGGCAGTATGTAAACAAACGGGCATGTGTTCTCCAATAAAACAGAAGGCCAGTGTGCCAAATGCTGATATAGAACAGGGGCTGACAAATCATAGTTCTACACCAAATCCAGCCCACCACCTGTTTTTGTAAACAAAGCTTTATTCATGATCTAGATGTAGCCTATCATCTAGAGCATTTCTAGCCAACTGAAGGGTAATTCACCAAGCTATAATAATGCCCTAGTTTCACAGAAACATGGTGGGGAACATCCAGAGCTCTTTGTTCTAATCTTTCTTCACAAATAATGTTCTGATTCCTAATCTGTGACCTGTGTGGTCCAGCCCTCCAGGTGGGAGGGCCTTGATAAACACCTGGTGCCCTACTGGTGACCTCTCATTGCAAAGGAACAGAGACATTCTTCATCATCATCAATCAACCAGTGATTCAGTTTCTGGAAGACTCAGTACCCTTGGGGAGCTGAAAAAACAAAAAAGGAGATTCTTAACCTGAAAAGATGGTGGCCAAAGACGAAGCTTGTGGTGATATGACAATTAATTAATTTATGCATTCAAATGTTTTATTGTCTACTCTGTGCCATGCAGAAATGCACATGAACTTCAGACTAAAAACACTGACTCACAGCACTTAAGTCAATACTTTACATACAGCAAATCCCCATGTTATTTACAATGCCGAAAGACCTGAGCTAGAACACAACCCATAATCAAGCAAGCAGACCGACACAGACAGAAATGTTGCAATAGGAGCCCCAGTACAAAGAACTCCAGCTTCCTGTCCAAGAGTAGCAGCCATAGGAGCAGAACCTGCAGGCTAGGGGAGGGCAGGGACTACGCCAGCTCACTGCTGAATCCTGAGTGCCTGGCTCAATGACCGTCAACAGTGGGGGCTCCAAAATACTTGTCTGTATTACCATGAATTGCCTCCACCGCTTCTGATAAGCTGCAGTGTGAATGGCCCAGCCTGAAAGTCAGACTTCCTAACTCTCACATTAATGAGATCTTATTCTCCATACCTGGACTGTCTGGTAATCAGAAGCATCAATTCCTTTTACGGTCACCTCTCGGAAAACTCTTGGCTCCAGTTCCTCTTTGGTAAGATCACAGTGATAAATGATACCTAAAAAGTAGAAGAAGGCTTGGTTTAGTCTACGGGACTCACTAGATGCAAAGGGGGCAAGGATCACAAACCACAACCAAATGCCAGTAATAGCAAGAGAGGACTATTTGTCAGGGACTTGGTTAATCCCCACCACAGTCGAAGGTTCACTGCATACAAGTGCTTAGAACAGAATCTGGCATGAGGGGTGCTATGTAAGTGTTCATCCTCATCATCACCATCTCATGCAGCCTTCTTTTTTACACCACTAGTAAGTGTATACATTTTAGAAGATTCTAATGCATTCTGTGAATATGAGAAAAGGTGAGAAACCTAATTGTGGAAATTTAACTGGTCTTCCCCAAGCTGGGTCACTTAGGAATGCAGGTCAAAAAAAAATGGTAGACTTCATCTAGCACCATTTGACCTGGGAGGTCACTGACAAAAAACTCAAGTGATTTGCCCAGGGTCAAGAGCCAGTCAGGGGTCTCTTGATAAAAACACTCTGGGGCTCCTGCTACCTGACACCTACCTCTCTGTGGACACTCATGTGGACAGCAATCATGGACCAAAGATGATCAGTAGGTACTACAAAATTGCTTTTCCAATTTGGATGATCCCAGTAATTGTGCACAACACAAAATGACTACTATACATACTAAGAATTCCAGCTTACGAAACACTAATTAAACATTTCCCGAATTTAATGCTACTACTTTTTTTTTTTTTTTTTTT